TTTTTTTTTTTTTTTCTCCCTCCTCCTCCTTCCTCCCTCCCCCCCCTTCTCCCTCGGCTGGGCTGACAGATCAGAGAGGCGCTGGCAGTGGACTAGGAAGCTCGGCTGGTACTGCTTTCCCCCCCGCCCCTGGGCTTCAGCGAGAGTCTTTGCCTGTCGAACAAGAAGGGGTGAGGATCATATTTTTATTTTGGAAACTAAAAAGTGCTCCCGGGGTCGGCGATCGTGAAGGGGAAATCCCTGAATGTACTCTCCAGCCAAGAAGGCAGGGCTGCCCGCCTGCACGGGAAGAGGCGGCAGCCTCCTACAGCACCACTACAGGCACTGCGAGGACATAGCACCACAGCGCAGTTCCTCTGCCCTCCGAAACGACAACTTTCCTACCATCTTGGAGGCAGAGAGCGAAGAGGGGCCAAGGGGGAAAGTGCACCGGCTCCGGAGAAAGTGCAAATTTCTACCTCGCCTCTCCGGGGGGCGGGAAAAAGTCTACACCGGCGCCTAAGGGTTTGAAAAGCTGGGATGGAAACAGAATCGAGTTCATTCGCCCCCGTAGAGGGGGGAATGTCTGTCTCTGCACCTTCTGATGGCAAGAAATCTTGACAAGACACAGGTTTTACGATATTATCGTTGCTTTCCGTTTTAACTTTTTTTTTTTCTTTTTTCCGTGATGGTGACAGTGGTAGCTTCATGTTTTTCTTTTTTCCTCCAGGCTAATAATGGTTGTTTTTTTTTCTTCTCTATGGCAGGTCCAAGTTCTGTGTCTGCTGGTTAGTGTGTAAATTGGCACTTCAGAGACGTCAAGGTCACTTTATTGTGTTTATTTCATTGCCCGTTTATATTGCATGTATGCGTGTTTATGTTCTCGTGTGTTGTAGTGGAGGTTCTGTGGTTTTGGTATCCACGAAACTGAGGGCGCAGCAAGTCAACTGAAAAGGGATGTCTTTTGTCTTTTCTCAAAGCCGTGGAAGTAAAACCTATTGACTGTCCAGAAAGGCCTAATACAGCTGTTTATTTTTCACAGTGCAAATTAAAGCACTGTGTATTTAAACTCTCCTTACAGCAGACCAAGCCTGTCATGGTCTGTCTGCCCGAGAAGAAAGATTACTCCTGTAAACCTAGCAGTAGATTGAAAGATGCTTTGGATTTTCTTTAAGTAAAGTTATTTATTAAGAATTACATTTAGGATTGCACTTGTGTTATTTTCTTTGTTTGTATAGATAATTCAATGTTCGGATCTTCGGTGCATTACACAGAGTTCTCTCTGCTTCTCACAACACAGAATTGAGGGGTGTGTTTATTCTTCCTAGTGTTGAAATGTTCAGAACTTCCAGTGTGGTGCCAGCCTGTTGAGTAACTTCATAGACTGCAAGGATGTCGTGAATTTACTTTTTTTAAGAAATGATTTATTTTTATTGTATGTGCATTGGTGTTTTGCCTGCTTGTATGTCTGTGTGGGGGTGTCGAGTCCCCTGGAACCTGAGTTACAGACAGTTGTGAGCTGCCACACCTGGGTGCTGGGAATTGAACCCGGGTCCTCTGGGAGAGCAGCCAGTGCTCTCAACCACTGAGCCGTCTCTCCAGCCCCACAGTTTCCTTATTTTTTTGAGCAGATTTTAGCACATAAACAGGATCAAAGTTAAACTGTACTGGATGCAGGGATGACAGACACCAGGTGCGGCCGACTGGCATTTACTCCGGGAGAGCTGTGGTGAATTTCTTGCAGAGGCATTGGAAGTGCGGTAGGAAATAGCCAGGCTTTTCATATGTTCAAAGGGAATGAGGGATTTCCACTTAAAATTCATTACCAATCATTTAGGACTAACTGATAACTCCAGTTTAAAATGTCTGTTTCTGAGTTATAACTTTAAGATGAATTCAGATAATGTTTATCTGTGGAGCTTTATTATCTAAATTTGCATATAATACCTTCTGTGAGTTTTACCTCCTTCTTTGATAGAAAAATCTATAGGCATTAAAATTAACCGGTTTCCCCTTACTTGTGAAGTTGTGCTATGTTGACAATGTTGTTGTTTGTTTTGCTTTGGTTTGTTTCGAGACAGGATCCTGCTATATATATAACTCACGCCGGCCCTGAACTCAGTATGTAGTTCAGGCTAGCATGGAACTCACAGCCATCCTTCTGCCTCTCAAGTGCTAGTATTAGTCACACGCCACAACACCTAGCCCAGTACTTGTTCTTTAACACGTGGACGTTAAGCACAGTGGTCGTTCCAGGAGAGTTAGGGTTCTGTAACTGAGACCACTGCTGGAGTTGGAAAGCGTGTTTGCCGGCAGCGCGTTTTCTTTCCCTTCTGTGTGCCTTAACCTTATGTAGACAGTGAACTCAGTGTTTCGAGAGCTGGAGCAGCCTTGACATTAAACATCCCTCTGGTCACCGAAGAGACTTGTTTGCATGACCAGCAGAGGCCGTAGTGCATGTCTTTAGGATTTCGCTGCTTTTCTGTGCCCCGGGTGTTCCTTGTACATTGGCATAACTCGTGTTTACCCCATCATCCCAGCTAGCCAAAATTTGGGGGATTACAGTTCAACCAAGAAGGGAGAAATCCCATGAAATTTACTTTTGGAGAATTGAACTGGGAAGACTTGTGACATTTAGTGTGTGGAGAGGCACTCGGGTACCACATGTGGGAGTCAGAAGACAGCCTGTGGGAGTCCGTTCTCTCTTTCCACCACATGGGTCTCAGGGATCAAACTCCGATCATCAAGTCTGATGATCAGCAGGAGACTTTACCCGGTGAGCCATCCTACCAGCCCAGGATTTGTTTAGGTTGACAGTTAAAATCATTCGGATGCCATGTCTGGCTCTGTGGAACTGAGCGCTAATATAGTTAATAACAATTTAAGAACCCTAGTTTTCCCCCAGTGAAATCCTCTACTCAAATTTAGCTGATATTGCTGAGTACTTGATAGACCTTGGGAACCTTTCTAGACATTTCACTTCTTTTTATTTTATTTTATTGGTTTTTTGAGACAGAGTTTCTCTATGTAGCTCTGGATGTCTTGGAACTCACTCTGCAACCAGGCTGGCCTCGAATTCAGAGATCCACGTGCCTCTGGCTCCAGAGTGCTGGGGGTCTGCATGCACCACCACCTGGCTAGGCACTTTATGTGTTATTTTATTCACTGCTCTGGTTTGGTTTAGTTTGAGACTGTCCCACTATATACACTGGCTGGTCTGGAACTTACTCTGTACACCAGGCTGGCCTTGAATTCAGAGACCTCCTTGCCTCTGCCTCCTGAGTGCTAGAATTAAAGGAATATGCCACTATATTCTCTCTATTTTTTTTCTATTTTCTTTAAAGATTTGTTTATTTATTATATATAGTGTTCTGCCTGCATGTATACATGCATGCCAGAAGAGGGTGTCAGATCTCATTATAGATGGTTGTGAGTCACCATCTATATGAGAATGATGGGAATTGAACTCAGGTCCTCTGGAAGAGCATCCATTGCTCTTAACCTCTGAGCCATCTCTCCAGCCCCTAGTCTCCCTATTTTTGAGGAAGAGTCTTTCCTTGTAGTCGAAGCTGGCCTTGAACTCCCTATTTGGCCCAAAGTAGTCTTTAATTCATAATCCTTCTGCCTCAGCCTCTGAAGTGTTACAATTATATGCACCATGGCCGGGCAGTGGTGGCGCACGCCTTTAATCCCAGCACTTGGGAGGCAGAGGCAGGCGGATCTCTGTGAGAAAAAAAAAAATTATATGCACCATGGTATCTTGCTGTATCTACCTTTTGGTACTAGTGGTTTTAGTTTCGTAAAAATTGAGTACTTCATTGTGAATACTATAATGAAGTTATTAAGAAAATGATAACTATATCCTGTCCTTAGAAGTGCTCCTTTATACAGTAATGTGTGTGTGTGTAAATGTAACAATACCCGTTATTTTGTATGCTTACTAGAAAATTAATTTAAATATCTCATTTAGAGATTGTAGATTTAAAGTAAAAGGTTCATGTGTGCTTGCTTAATGTATTAGAATTCGTCTATAAGTAAAAATACCTTTCTCAGCAAATGCTTGCTGACAAAATCACCACCTTTTTTTTTCCTTTCAAGAAAGAAACCACTGACAATAGACATTGTTAATCAAGTTTACTAAGATTTTTGTTTGTTTTGGAAGGAGCTTGTTTTGTGGGTTATTTGGGTTTTTCTCTTTTTTTTTTTTTTTTTTTTTTTTTTTTTTTGAGATAGGGTCTCATGTACCCTAGGCTAGCCTCAAACTGTCTATCGCTGTTTCTCCTCTCTCCGCCTTTGAAGTGCTGGGATCATGGACATAGACACCGTGTCCAGCATATTTGAACACTTCTAAGGGCAGACCCCAGGGCAAACACAGGCAGTTCCAGAGACCTTGCTTGAATGGATGGATGCGTACGTTACGAGCACAGTGTTCCAGTTACTACAGAGCCTGGGCAGGACAGTGCTGAGCCGGGCCCGGGCTGACGTGCGTCACCGCACAGATCTGCTGTGACAACCAGGACTGCACTTGTGGGGTTGTGCCCCTCAGGATCCACTGCACTCCAGCCTGGGCAGCAGATCCTAAACCCCATGATGTGAATAAGTGGCAGGTAGCGGCGTGCCTAAGCTTTCCATTAAGGTGACCGCCATAGACAACTTTTTTTTTTTCATTCTTAGCCCGTTTTAGAAACAGCCATTGATAGTATTTCTGCCTAAAACAAAGATTGGGTTTTATTGTGGTTACTGGATCTTGCAAGAAACTGTCTCTTGAAAAACAAAAACAAAAAAACTTAATGTATTCAAAGAGGAGTAAATAGGAAAAAAAGAAATTGAGAAACTGTCTCAGGTAAACATTGTATAGAGCAGACACAATAGCTTTAGATTATTTTAGTGTGAAATTTCTTTAGAAAAAATAATATACAAGTTTAAGCTAGGCATGGTGGCACATGCCTTTAATCCCAGCAACTTGGTAGACAGGCAAGAGGATCTCTTCAAATTCAAGGCCAGCCTAATCTGCATAGTTCCAGGACAGCCAGGACTACTTAGTGAATCTCTCACTCCCCACTCTCTCTCTCATACACACACACACACACACACACACACACACACACACACACATCCCATTCAAGCATGGTCAAAATACACACAGGCACTAACTAGATAATATGAATTCTAATACCTCATCCGGGACCATCCAGACCTGAGAATTGTTATCTGATTTTATGCTAAAAAGTCAAGAAAGGAGTCTGAGAGTTCCGGAGGAGGAGGCAGTTTGTTTTGTTGGTCTTGTCTCCTCACAGCCCAGAAGACACCCTTCAAGAACCAGCTAATTATTGGCTATGCTGACAGCAGGCCAAGACTTTGTGGCCCTTTTCAATCTAGAGGCAGAGACTCTGACAATGTGTCACAGCTGTAGACATTGGAGGACAGGAAAGTAACTCTCCACCATAAGTCACATCATTGGTGATCATTAATTAAAAAAAAAAAGCTTCGGGGCTGGAGAGATGGCTCAGAGATTAAGAGCACCGACTGCTCTTCCAGAGGTCCTGAGTTCAATTCCCAGCGCCCACATGGTGGCTCACAACCATCTGCAATGAGATCTGGCACCCTCTTCTGTATACATAATAAGTAAATAAATCTTTAAAAAAAAAAAAAGCTTCAAGGCAAGATTAAAGATTGGATCTAGGTAGAATTAGCAATGATAGTCAACCTTTTCTGTAATTTGTAAGGAGGGGGGGAAAAAAGTGTCCCCAAAGTGATGGTTAGTTAAAATGTTGTAGTAAGGAGAGAAATCCCTAGAGACCTCAGGATAATAAGCAGAGGTTCGCAGGAAGGTGACAGTGTTCATTTCTGTGGTATTCCTGGCGAAACAAGCTTTTGTAGGCCCGCTGGGAAGGTAATCACAATTTCCATGGGAAAACAGATTCCAGGTTCCAGACAAGTAATTTAGAGATGTTGTAGAACACAGCCACTAATAAGTGTAGACCTCTGCTCCTCAGCATGTCGTTCTGATGGATGGCCAGAGTTCAGTAGTAAGGCGGGGATAATGTGGGAGCCAATCCGCTCGTTCGGATGAAAGGGAGCAGGGAACTGTGAATGGAGCTCAATGGAGAAAATGAAAGACAAAACGGTTGAGTACAGGACAGGAAAAACTTCCCTGACTCAAATTAGACTGTTTATCTCTAGGATCGCAGCTCCTTGG